CAGAAAACATCACCTAGGCGTAATGCTGTTCGGGTTCGCAACTCGACAGAAATCTTAGATTCATTGAATAAAACGATGTAGCCTGTCTGCATTTGAAATTCTGTCGCACCGAGTACGGTGACGTGCATAGAGAATAAACATTTAAACTTTTCGAGTGCTAGATTTTGCGAAAGCCTGGATCATAAAAAATGCATACAGACAGAGTAGTGCCCATAATGGCTACGGTACTGATATCCAAAGTGGTTGGGTGCGATTGGTATTGATCCATCGACCTTGGACCAGGTGGAGGAACATAAATATCTGTTGGATGAAGGTGACCTGTTTATCAATTAATTTATGACTTTGACGAAAACAAGACATGTTTTCTTTAGTCATGTTGAGTGTCGTTTGAATGACAAAGTTTCTGGTGATTATGCTAATGTGTTTAAAAAATACACATTTTGCAGTAAGTTGCCAGGACAGTGACGAAGTCGTAGTCCCCCTCATACGCATGACAGAAACTAGATTTCTGCATGCTTATATAACCTACGGCATCATATTACGAGTGGTTTAAATTTAGGTAATGCCCGGTTTACTTTTGTGCTTTGTTCTACGTTACGACGCCTACAGGAAAAGTAAATGCTTAGACCAAACCAGCGGTACCTGGCAGAGAATGACGTACTTCCACTGCTCACTGATTGGATACCTCGTAGGTATGTTCATTCAGCAGTACATTGCTTCTGCTTTCTAAGCGAAGATGTCCTTGATGATAATGATAAGTAATATGGATTCATACGCATAGGTATATATGACTGTGTCAGTATTGATAAGGCGAACAATTATCATTGTAAGAATGATGCGTGTGATTAGATAAGATTACCATTTTGATGGTAAACTGGTGATGATGATGTGAATGAACTCTGAAGGACTGTGAAAGTATGATTGTATTTTCCACAGTGCGCTGCCGTCGTTCCATCTATTCATTTTTTACCATTCGTTTTTCATTGCAAGGCGACTTATGTGAGATTATTGTTGTTTAGGACATAAAAAAGAACAATACATTTAGCAGTTTTTGTGACTACAAACGAGCGAATAAAATATGCAAGGAAGCTCGTTATGATAACGATAAGAATAGCGTTCATCATTATCGTCAGTATAATAAATGTGGTCATGATAAAGGAGCTCGCTCTTATTATAGCTGTGGTGAATACGATCATGATAAGGATTATTATGACAGTAAGTAAGGGTTTTCGATGCTCGAAGAAGGTGTTCATAATAGACAATCCGTTGTTTGCACAAAACCGCAACAACTTCAT